AGTGCATGAACCGTATAAGAGTTATGGGTGACAGATCCGCTTTGCATTAAGTGTGCTGTCTGCTCGTTTATCACTGAGCACCATAAAAAAAGTGATTGATTTTACCAAAATACTTTTAGCATTTATCGATTAAATGAATATTGTGGATGAGTAAATAATTTGTTTTGCTTTAAAACTAACAAATGACGTAAATATGTTAAAACATAATACTTTAACTAGAATACGAACGAATCAAGCTATACTTGGGACTCTTCTACAATCGTTGTTAAATAGCAATCTAAATTGTACAAATGGAAGTATCGTAATAATATTATTTTTAAATATTTTTTTTTTATTATCTACGTATCAACGATTGCAGAATGCTGTCTTGTCTAAGCCAGTTGGTTCTATTTTTCATGTCTTGCGATTTAGATTTTTTTGATTGGCATTCCATTGATAGCGTGTCATTTAAAATATTAAGATCTTCAAACATTAATATTAACGATTAGCTTATTTTTAATTTTAATACCCAAATAGAATAAGACGTTAAAAACAAAATATGAACACTTAAGTGTAAATTGCTGAAAAACAATTCCTTTTATATATTGATGACGAACTTTTATATAAATATACAACAAAATTTCCTTTATTGTTTGCTTATAATGAGATGTTTTTATTTATAATAAAACAGATCATCCTTATATATCCATACTAATATTATAAAAATGTAAAGTTTGTGAGTTTGTGACGTCGTAGGGGCTAATCTCTGGATCTACTGAACCATTTTAGGTGAAATTTGATAAGAAGATAGTTTGAGATCCTGGGAAGGACATAGGATACTTTTTATCCCGGAAATCATCCCTTAAGGGGGTGAAAATGGGGATGAAAGTTTGTATAGGGAAGCAAGCTAGGGACGAACCCGAGCGAAGCGAGGGTGAGTCGCTAGTATAATATAAAATTATTTATAATGCGTCGCGAAAGTGCATTAAGTTCCAATTATAACACAGCGATAGAGCAGCGAATTGACATTTTCACCAAAAGTTAGATAGTCAAAAAATAAGATAGGATGACAGGATAGAATTTTCATGTTACAGCTAAAAATGACCTAGGCCCAGAGCAAAACTAGGACAGGTCAAAAGTTCAAAATACGTCATAGTCTATAAAAAGAAATTAAATTACTGCTATATATAGTTATAAGGTATCGTATCATGAGACTCGTGTTCCTTACAAGCTCACGATTGCTACACGTGATTTTTATAAACACTTCGGCCATTAACACAGATACAAGTTTAAACAAATATCTGTTATATTCAAGAACAATTAATCAATGAAGATAAATTGCAATAACAGAAAATACATATAAGTTGAAAGTTTCAGGGGAAATTATTTTCAGACGATTAAGGCTTTGGTAGCTCCAAGATATCTAATATAGGTACCGAGAGTATGGTACCAACCACTATGCAGTATATTTACTAACATGTTGACCAATAAAATAGTACCTTATTAACACTGTTTTAAAATCCCTACTTAGTGTTAGTTTTTATGTTATCTTGTTAGATGTTTTTATTCGTTGCTTTATGCACGATTTTGCGAAAGACCAAAAACATAATGCGAAACACATTTCTTAGGGGCGACCCCTTATTTTTTTACTTTTTTCAAAGAATATTTGTGATAACTAATCTAAATATTTCAACGTCATTATCACACACAATAATATACTTTAGTAACTATTGGTCGATTATGATTAGTAACATTGATTGTACTCACATTTCTTGGCAATTATAAAGTTTTGTATGCTGTTGAAAATTTGTTTTTCTTAATTACATGTCATATTATTTATCTGTTAACTTAAACAATGCTTATAAAACTTAAAAGGTATATATTTTACGATAAGTTCTCAGCTTTTTTCTGTACAACGATCGACTCCATTTTCTATCATTATCATATTATATATAATTACTACCATCAGTTAATTGTAATATATTGAGGAACCGGATAGTAAAGTCGTTTTTTTAACATAAAAAATATAAATTACCCGTTTTTATATTTAATCAATGGCGTGATCACTCCCGTTATGAACAACATTTTGCCACCTAGTAGTCAAATAATTTTCAATGCCGGATCGATAAAAATCGTTTGATTTTTAAACAAAATATTGGGAAATGTAAAAAGTCCCATTTCCAAATATTTTTATCCAAATGAAAAATGTCTAAACTTTCAAACTTTAAAAACGATGTAACGATCGGAATAAATGGAAATCCGATGGTGCAATATATGGTAAGTACGGTGGGTAAGGCAATACTACCCACTTTAATTCATAATTTGTTTACAGGGTTCGTCGTGCACTTGCATTATCATGTTGCAGAATAACTTTGTTCTGTTGACAATCGCTGGGCACTTTTTAATTAAAAATTAATTTACTCGATTGAATTTTTAACAGTATAGATCTGCATTGACAATTTCTTTACACTTCCAATCGACCCAGCGAATATTCCACCAAACACATAAAAGCGCCTTTTTGGGATGTGAACCTGTCTTAGTTGCATTTTGTGGCGTTTAATTTGGAGAGAACCACAGTGTTTTACGTTTTAGATTATCATAAATAACCCATTTTTTCTTCCCCAGCTATCAAACAATCAAAAATGCTTCCGTATTGTGCCGCTGAGGCATAAGTTGCACGTGATGGATCGGTTGGCTTTGTTTTCTTTGGACAGATTATGCTAATCTGTTACAAATGTACTTGGATGATCGACCGAGGTTGGTTAAGGATATTTGACAGAACCTCGATTGCTTGACACAAATTTGTTTCCACTACCACCCTTAACACAGCATTGGCCAAAGTTGTTGGTCTATCTAGTCGGTAATATAAATATTACCGGATTTAAACTTAGAAAACCATCTTTCGCATTTACAAACGTAACTTGGATAAACATCACAATGTTTATTTACCTCATAATGTGTTTCCAGGACTTTGATATGATGCACTCAGGTCTTTTCTGTGTGGGTTGCTGACATTTTTGGTGTAGCATGCGAACTTTCTTCAGAAAATCTTCGAATTTTCTTCAGACCTACCTCTATAATCTGCCTAACGTCCTATATTCGGCGTATAAGTAGTAGATACATCCGACCGTGTGTCTTGTAATTACGACAATGGCATTGTCGCCAAATACCCTGTTCATTGGTATTAGACGAATATAACATGAGACGTAGATACAACACATATCATAATAATTATATGTATGTAACTGTTAAACATATGATTTACTGATTGCTGGTAATGAACATATACTGATTTAATGTACGAGGGTCTGGTCCCTCGCTAGTGGCCTCCAACCTCCCCTATAGCCCGAGCCTCGCTAAACTGATAACTGTTCTGATTTAATAAACTGATTTAACTGATCTCACATCACTGGTCTGATTTATCTGATTTATCTGATAACATGTTAACACATGTCTATACTGAATCGAATAATCTGAATCTGATTTCTGATCAAGCAATCTGCTCACACGCAATAACATTGAATATTCACAAACTGGTAAAATAAATCCACTTACTTGAGAACACACGGTGTTACACCTGATCTGCCTCGCTCGCGTCTCGACCGCGTCTGAGTCAAATCTCAATCTATCCTATCGAACTCTTTTCGTACTACCGTCACGTTAATGACAAATAATAATTTGAATGATTAAACATTTATTTCGCGATTACCCTACGGTATTCGCGACACTCCCCGCCAAAAGGAAAATAAAATTGCTCTGATTTAACTGATTACAATTAGTCTTTAATTTTCATAAACTGATTACAAATCTTAACAGAAACAACAATCATCTGATTTAAAATATCTGAATAAACTATAATTCATCAAATAAAATTAACATAAGTTGAGAAGTCCATTTTTTAACTCTGTCCCTGGCTTTCGTAGCTGACACTCTGCTTGGTCGTTTGGAATTACTGGGCGCTGAATTTTTAATTTCACTGGTTACTATTTTACTTATTCCAGGTTGTTCTAACTGGTTTGCCTGTATTGATTCCCTTTCAGGAACTGATACTGTATTCATGTTATCTTCAACTTCAAGAGGATATAGATGACTTATTGATCGAGTCAACGTTTCTCCTGTCATTGTATTAATTTTTGCAACTCTGATATGTCCATCCGAACCCTTAATAAGCTCTTTTATCTTGCCAACTTTCCAGTTCACTCTACTACCTTCTGCTTTTATCTGAACTATTTCACCGACCCTCGGTACCCTGTCAACTACAACTCTTGCTTGTCTATGTCTGTTTCTTCGTTCACGAAGACTACATAAATATTGATTACTAAACATTTTCACAAACTCCTGAATAATAATCTGACCACGTTTCCAACTATCAATTAGGTTATATTTAGTAACTGAAGATGGCTCTAGAAGGTCACGATCCGATATCTCGGTCGTAGTTGTTCCTCCGATTCGTAAAAAATCTGCCGGCGTTAAGACATGCTCTAGTTCAGCTCCTACTGGTGTCAAGGACCTAGTATTAATGATCGCTTCAATTTCTTTTACAACTGTACACAACTGATTATAGTTAAGCGAATGTTTGTCCACCGTTCTTTTAAGACAATGCTTTACTAAGCCTATTAAACGTTCATAAAAGCCCCCAAACCATGGAGCTAATTCAGGTATGAATTTCCAACGTATCTTATTCAAGATACAATAATCAGACGACAATACCTCTGACGTAAGTTTGAACTGTGTGGCGTTATCGGAAATAATAAGTTTGGGTAAGCCTCGTACTGCAACAAATCTTCTGATTGCTAATAGACACTCTTCTGCTGATAAATCTCTAACAACTTCCATATGTATTGCTCTGATCGTCAAACATGTAAATAAACACACCCAACATTTCTCCTTACTGTCATTTATTACATAAAGCGGCCCAAAATAATCCATTCCCGTAAATGTAAAAGGTAAATTAAACTTAACTCTTTCTGATGGCAAATCGGGCATCGCTGGCAATTTAAATGGACCACCTCCGTATTTTAAGCAATTTCGGCATTTTCTAAGAATCTTTTGTACGGTTGATCTACCATGAGGAACCCAGAATGTTTTTCTAAGTAAAGCCAATGTATGAGATACTCCAACATGATAGTTTTTCTCGTGTAAATCGGCTATTATTTTATGTGTAAATTCTGAATTTTTTGGAAGTAATATAGGTTCTTTATGACAATGAATCCAATCAGTATGTTTAAATCTACCTTTACATCTCAATATCCCATTGACATCTTTATATAGGCCAAGTGATCTTGCAAAATTAGATACAATACCGTTCGTTTCTTCTGGAAAATATTGAGCTTGTACTTTCAAAATAATTTCTAAATCACTGTCCCTATCGCTAATTGGTTCTTTATCTAATTCGGTTGTACTTGTCATATCTAAATTATTTATATTATCTTCATTCTCAACTAAAGTGCTTTTATTATTTGTATTCTCATTCGAGAGACCCTCCCCGACAGAAGAGATTTGCGTTTCTACTTGATATACACAATTATTAGGCATAGAAAACCAATTTTCAGAGTTATCTAGTAAAAAGTCTGGACCTTTGAGCCACCTATCATAATGATCTATCCGGTCAGATCTCGTACCTATGTCTGCTGGATTGTATTGACCAGGTATATACCTAAGAATTAAAGTTTTATTTTGCTTGATTTCATTAATCCTCCGCGATACAAAAGGCAAAAGAAGCTTACTAGAATGGTACCAACCTAAAACTATTTGACTATCGGTCCACAAAACCTGCGCCTTTATACTTAACCTTAAATTTTTATTTACGTACTGTAATAGTCTATTTCCAATAAGTGCTCCAAGCAATTCTAGTTTTGGAATTTGTAAATTAACTTGCTCTTTAATAGGTACTAATCTAGACTTGCCAATAATAAAAGTGACAATATTACTAGTACCCCAAGAACTACGTAAATATATACATGCAGCGTATGCTTCCGTAGAAGCATCAGTAAAGCAATGTAATTCATGTCTCATTTTTCACTAGCCCTGGTGTTACCTATACTTTTTAAGAAATATCTGTCAATGCTGATATTTTTAAGATAACTAAACTTCGATATTATTTGCTTCCACTCATTAAGTAAATTACTATTAATCTTAGTATCCCATAAAATCTTTTGTTTCCATAACTTCTGGAAAAATAATTTAGCTGGAAGCACTATTGGAACAGCATAACCACAAGGATCATAAACCGAAGCAATTACTTTTAAAATACTTCGTTTTGTGTAAACTGAATCTAAATCTGTTTGACTAATATCATATTTCAATAATAATTTATCATCCCTCGTATTCCATATTAAACCTAAAACTTTAACTGCCTCAATATCTCTACAAAATTTATCAGGTATACGTGAAAGAAAATCTTTTGAATTTGAATTCCACTCCCTTAAGTTCATAGACAAATCGTTAAAGGCTAATTTAGACGTGTTGTATATGTTTTGTGCCTCTAAAACCGATTTAGCACCAGTTATAATATTATCTACATAAATGTCGTCGGCTATCTGGTTTAAAATTGAGTTATTAGATTTCGTTAAATGGTATTTTATTGTAGCATTAAGGAGAAATGGACTAGATATAACTCCAAAAGGTACTCGACAGAATCTTAAAGTTAATATATTTTCTTTGTTAACTGGATCATTGATATTTTTCAGCCAAAGAAAGCGCGTCACGTCTTTATCTGGTTCTTGTAGACCTAATTGTAAAAATGCTTTTTCAACGTCTGCTATAATGCCAATCGCATGTTCTCTAAATTTAATCAATAACGCAATAAGATCTTCTAGCATTAAGGGACCTTTATATAAGCATTCGTTCAAACTTTGATTTCCTATTGTTTTGGCTGACGCATCATATACAATACGAAGCTTATTGGGTTTATCTCGATTAAAAACACACAATGATGTGGTAGATAGTGCACAGGATGACTCAGTGAAAAGGAAGCGTTTTTGACTATCTCTATTACACCATTCTGTAATTGTTCTTGAATGACTTTATCATATGACTTTATAGTTAAATCATCTAAACGTTTCAATAAATTACTTAGACGACCATAAGCTAAGCCTAGATTATTAGGTAAATTAGGAGGATATTCGGCCCAAGGCCATTTAACGTAATATCTATTGCCTTTGTACTGAATAGTTTTATTAAATTGTTTAATCGCTTCCTCATCACGAGAACATTTTGGAGAATCTACTATTCCTATCGATTCTAGATCCCATAACCTTTTAACATCGTCTGTCTTTAATGGAAGATCCGGTTTATGTAATTTACTATCATAAATTCCTGTTGATTGAAAATAGGTTAAAACTGATAATTGATCTACCGTATTTGTTTCGTTTACTCTACCTGACCATACCCACCCAAAATCTGAACTTACTAAGAAAAGATTATCAGAAATACATAACTTTTCATTCGATATAAATGTATGATAATAATCATTACCTATTAAAATGTCTATTTTATCTCCATAAGAACCATCATCTGCTAAAATGAGTTTGTTTAATCTACTGTTTTGTAATAATTTCGCTGAATTATTAAATACTGGCGCTTGTACGGAATTAGTAATATGAGGTACTACATTCGCGTATATAGATCGCTTTACACCGATTCGCGTCTTAATTATAAAATTAACTACACGACCTTTTATATATTGTGGAGATTTCGTACCAAATGTAAAAATAGACAAATCTACATTTTCTATAGTGGGCAGGTTTAAATGATTTGCAATTGATGATGTTATATATGAACGTTGGCTACCAGAATCAAGTAATAATCTACAAGTTTTCTCTTTAGGCTTGTCACTCAAATCACTAACATTAACAAGGCAAGTCTGAAGTAAAGTGGTTGTTACTGCAGAACTAATATGCAGACTATCAGTTTGCGATGATTTCATTAGCGGGGCTGATCTATTGGGACATAAAGCACGATTATGGTGGCCAAATTTATTACAATGCCTACACTTTCGTTTAGAAAAGCAATTCTTAGATTTATGTCCTTCACTAAAGCAATTATAACAACGATTGCCTAAATATGATTTTCTATCTTGTACAGTTTTAAAATTAGTACACTCGTCATTAAAATGATCTTGTTTACAGAATACACATCTTTTTATGAACTTCTTTTTAGGTGGCTCATCGGTTTGATTAACTAGATCACGGGTTCGTTTTCGTGAGAATAATTTAAATTTATCATTAAATTTATGTCCTACCCTAGGTCTATCCCTATTTGTAGTCATAAAACGATTTTTATTACTTCTATTGTCTTCAGTCCTTACATGTAATGAACCTAATGTAAATTGCTCTGCGTTTAGCCTGTTTTCACTGTTACTACCTTCTATGCATGAACTTTCTATTTCTCTTTTTAATCTGTTGGACGCTTCTCTTGCAGATATTATATACTCTAAATACTTTCTTATAACATCAATAGATTCATTTTCGTCAGTCATTTTTAACCGTAACTCATAAATAAGATCTTCTGGAAATTTCTCTATAATCATTACTCGAAGATGGTTATGATTAACATCTTCGCCCAAAGAGCTAAGAACCCTTAGATGCCTTTCGATCTCATTTAATACCTGTCTACACTCTTTTACTGCTTTACTTGCTGATTTAATTCTATATAATGCAACATAATGAGCATCAATAATAACGCTTGGTTTTCCATATCGTTCTTTTAATGTTTTAACCGCTATTTGATAATTTTTATTAGTTGTATCTAATCCTTCAATTGCCTGTTTAGCGTCACCTTCTAGAGCCGATTGTAAATATAATAACTTATCAACATCACTTATATTCCTATTATCAACGTTTGATGAAAATTGATCCCAAAATTGATACCACTTAAGTACATTACCATCGAATTTTGCTAGTTCCATCCGCGGTAACTTACTGACTATATTTTGATTATCATTGGACTGTGGTACTTTTGTTCTATACCTATTGCTTAGATAAACATTTATTTCTGCTATCAAATCTTGAGCCTTAATTTGTGTCGCTGTATATTGACTTATTTCTTCTAAGTTGGATTCATTAACTGATTTACAATAATTATGAATTTCTATAACAAATCTATCAACTGCTCCCTTTAATTTAGATTCAATTAACTGTAATTCATATAAATTAAAATCACTATCCATTGCTCGTGTATACGCACATTGAGCTGAATCTATATATGTAAGAAGAGATTCATGAATAATTCTAAGTCGGGTTCGGATGACTTCTTCCATTATGAATACAGTATTTAAAATTCAGTATCAATAATCATATTATATTGGAAACTGTAACAAGACACAAAATAATACTAAATAAATAGCTCACAAAATCCTAGCGTAGTTAAATATTAGCCAGTTTTCATATTTATTATAAATTAAATTATATGAATAATTTTATATTTCATTTATCATGTTTTATTTTATTTACAGTTTTATTCGACTTTTTTTTGTTCAATAGTGTAAACTTTGAGAAACACTGACTTTTTTACTACGAGTACTGTTTAATTTATGTAATCAAAAAAATCATGAATATTACATTATAAAATAAAATCGTTAATAAAAATAGGTACTGTTAAATAACAGTATAATGCATATTAACTAAATATTTAATATACTAATCACTTTTTTAATATCGAGATTATATAATTTTAAAACATTTAATCTCTATAGAATCATAACTGCTTTTAAAATTAACTATTTATCATTTCAAATTCTTTAGAATTAAAACTTTCAACGTTCAACTAACAATTATTGATTATGCTTTATATATAGGTACATAATATTCATTCTAATTTCTTCTTTCATTATTTTAAATTAAATGTTATATATAAAAAATTTATGAACATGTAGGTACTCGTAACAGAAAACGATATTCATTCGATATTATGCGGGTAAACTGCTTTACTTATAACCATCACGCGATACCATTTATAATTATCAACCGACGTTTGAATTTTTGAGAATAAAAGTTAAAATATAATATTCTATTGATTTACTATTATCACTTTAGAATATATTTTTTAAATAATAATAATTGTCGATCCCAGCACCTCCACCATGTCGCCAAATACCCTGTTCATTGGTATTAGACGAATATAACATGAGACGTAGATACAACACATATCATAATAATTATATGTATGTAACTGTTAAACATATGATTTACTGATTGCTGGTAATGAACATATACTGATTTAATGTACGAGGGTCTGGTCCCTCGCTAGTGGCCTCCAACCTCCCCTATAGCCCGAGCCTCGCTAAACTGATAACTGTTCTGATTTAATAAACTGATTTAACTGATCTCACATCACTGGTCTGATTTATCTGATTTATCTGATAACATGTTAACACATGTCTATACTGAATCGAATAATCTGAATCTGATTTCTGATCAAGCAATCTGCTCACACGCAATAACATTGAATATTCACAAACTGGTAAAATAAATCCACTTACTTGAGAACACACGGTGTTACACCTGATCTGCCTCGCTCGCGTCTCGACCGCGTCTGAGTCAAATCTCAATCTATCCTATCGAACTCTTTTCGTACTACCGTCACGTTAATGACAAATAATAATTTGAATGATTAAACATTTATTTCGCGATTACCCTACGGTATTCGCGACAGGCATGCTGGAGTCATACTCCTTAACAAGCCTTTTAAATTGTGTTACAAACTATTATTTTCCTAATAAAATGTAGTGCAAGCATATTCTATTGCATTTCCTAATAAAATAAGTTTATTATATGTTTATTATACTCAATTCCAAAGAATTGTAAAAAAGCTTTAATTTGTTGCCGTTATAATGACGTCATGCCGAAGTATTTGTAAACAAAGTTTCTTAATTTGCGCTTTTTTAGTTGTCACATTAAAAGTCTAAAAAATACGACGGAAGTACTCAGGTACTTACGTCGTAGTTTTTAGATTTTTAAGGTCAATGTTAAATCAATACATTCTTAAAAATAAATAAATTATGGCATGTATTAATTGGTTAAATACATTTCAAGAATATTTGTAGAGTAGTGACTTACCTACTTACTAGGTGCCTTTTGCTGTTTAACGCCAAAATTTTGACTTTATTACTAAAGAAGCCTGTTCTAGTTTATAGTCTCTCTATATACTTAATTTAATTCCTTCTTTTCATCTAATGTAAAAACTATTAAATTAATAAATTATATATATATATATATATATATATATATTTAAATAATCGCTTATGTAGATACATGTGAATATTTATGTGTATGTATATGTGTGTATGTGAGTATATATATTTCATTTAGATCTTTCTTAACCTGTTAATAATATATTTAGCTGTTATTATTTTTATAAACTAATTTTTATTTATAAGCTGTAATATTGTGAATCTTTATGTTACTTTTTTGATATTCTAAATCTTGTTTTGCCTTTACATGTACTATTTTTTAAATGTCGTTATCAACTATAATTAAGGTACTCTATATGTTTTATTTTCCATGTATGTTATAATGTGATTAGTGTGTACTTTGTTGGTGGTCTCATAAATAAAATAAAATAATACCTACATCTATAATAACAACTGTTTACAAAGATTATGGACTCGTAAATACAATAACGTGATACGAGAAGAGGATGAAACGATTGATATTCTCAATGACAATTTTTATCAATTCTTTGCTTCGTTGTATAATTTTAAACCGGATATGTTCATTTTATGTCAACACGTTTTTGGTCACGTGTATATGTCGAGAGGGCATTGCATTTTAATTATAATTTGATTTATAATATGAGACATATTCCCATATCGTAATTCGAACGAGGTCGTTTTAATACGAAATGAGAGATAAGCTCTAAGGTTATCACTACTGGTGTATCACTACTTCAGCCGTGATCATAGAACCCTTCGTAAGAAGCTACGTGACCGTTAGCATGAATTAAATATAGCTAAACTGTATTAATTGCTTACATTATTCTTGATTTTGGTATGTTCCTTGACCTTAAAAAAGTTAGATTGTGATTAGCTTAGAAATAATTTAGAGGTCGTTGATCTTAGCTCTATATGTTCGACGTATGTCCTTCTCATTTTATTAAATTAGTAAAAATGCGCTAGTTTTAAGAACAGTAGTTACAGCAGCCTATCGCTACATAGAAAATTTAAGGTAAAAGCAATAAAATTCGTTTAACATACATAATATTGATATTTTCGTAAGAATACCAAAAGTTATGATCTCTTTCAGATCTTCCATCGTAGTCTACATAAAACAAAACAATTAAATACTTTATTTTTACCATCATTTGGTGGACTCCCTATACTCGCCTACTACACATAATTTTATATTTCTAGCCATTATATTATCGTCTTTCTACATGCGCATACATATAATAATATAATAAAATTCTAACTGAGTCGAATCCGTATATTAAATATTTTTTGGAAAATCTCATTGAAATAGTCATTATTATTGATACAGAGACCGAATCTATAGTTATAAGAAATTTTTTTTTGTCTGTCTGAGAACGCATCACGAGAAAACCGCTTGACAGATTTTGATAAAATTTGGTATGATGATAGCTGGTTATGGACCACATATAGGATACTTTAACGGCGGAAAAGTATCTTATCTCTGAGAAATCTATACGAAACGTCAAAAAGTACTTACACCCTAGTTCATCTTATCTTTCCATTATACTTATCTTTTCATTGATATATACATATATACTTACCTTTTCATTGATTTTTATGTGCAAAGTTTAATCTCTGAAATTATCGTGATTAAATAATATTTCTAATCACGTTTCTATATTTCGTTATAGGTACTAACACTGTATTCTGAACAGCCAAGTGTACTGTGTAACATTTACTTATGATTATTATTGCACGTTTATGATTACATCTCGACCTTCTTTATCTTTTGCTCTGTT